TCTCTCTCTCTCTCTCTCTCCTCTCCTCTCTCTCTCTCTCTCTCTCTCTGGTAGTCTATCACTGTGCATCCCTGGCTGGCCTCAGCCTCCTTAGTGCCGAGATTACAGGTGTGACCATGCCTGCCTCTCAACCTATTTCTCTTATTTTAATAAAAAATAATTTCTGTGTATGGGTTTTTGCCTGCATGTATGTTTGTGCACATGTATGCATGTGGGTGTCTGGTGTCTGAGGAAGCAGGAAGAAGGTGATTGATCTCCTGGACTTACAGATTGTTGTGAGCCACCATATGGGTATTGAACCTGGACCCTCCAGGAAAGCAGGCAGTGCTCTTAACCACTGAGCCATCTCTCCAGCCTCCTCAGCTGATTCTCCCTTTGAGCACAGTCCCAGCATGTCCAGTGAACTGCTCATCACACACACTGGCCACCCTCAGTACCTTCACTTTGATTTCTACCTCATTTTCTCCCTCCTCATTTTTAGATTCTTCTTGTGGGCTTCAAATTTTGGACCCCAGAATGGCTATTTAATGAAGATCTAATCTGTAGTCCCTTCCCTACATCCCCTAAGCCTTAAGTGACAGACCAACATCTACAATTCAGCTCCCCCCCACACACTAATTCAGAGGCTACTGTGGACGACAACACTTGCATGTCTTTTTCTTATTGTAACTTCTCCTCCCTTTTGTGAGTTCTCTTTGGGCAGACGTGGGGAGTGAATGTACCTGTAGTAGTGACCATTGTTGACATGAGCACAGCCATGTCAAGGACACCAAGCTTCAGACTCACAGGAATGGCCAGGCCTTCCCTTGGTCTAAGTACAGATGTTGATGAATGCTTTATCGTTAGCTAGAAACAGTATGAGCAAAAAATACCTATTGCAATTCCCTCCTGGATGACTGCATGATCATAGCCCCTGGGTCTGCTCCCCACAGACACTGCCTAGTGAGATCAGTGAACCTGCCTCCTAGTCCATGCTGTATTTAAAACACAGGCTGAGCATCTCCATCCTAGTGCACTGTCAGACCAGTCCCAGCTTTACAGTACTTATGTCTGTCTTTCTTAATTTCCATGGCTCCCTTCACAAGGACACAGCTGCATGGGGTGGCGACAGACAGACTGCTCAGCCTCAGTTGCGTGTCTTATTCCCCACAATAGGCCATGCAACTTCTGCTGCAGTTCCCTTACAATCTTATTCCCTATGTGCTATGTCTGAAACTTGAACCTGCTTGCTGGTCCAACATCCATTCTCTGGATGGCCCCATAGTCTTGGTGGACCACTGTCAACAAGGAGGCATTCGTCACTAGCTACAGAAGAAGACAGCCCCACTGAGACTTCCCCTACAGCTTCTGGCCTTGACTCTGCCTCTGGGCAGACAACTCAGCCTCAGTGGTACGTCTTACCACCCACAGCAGGGGCAATGCCAATACTACTACAGCAGGAAAGCATGCCATTCCATGCCACAAGGAGAAAGGGCCACTTTGGGATTCTCCTGGCTCAGCATCCTCATCAGAAACACTTCTGTACCTCACAGACTCGCCCTTGGTTCTGTCATGTCTCCATTTAGGCTAAGTGTCGTGTGACCCTTGCCTAGAGAGATGTGAACAAAATCTACTCAGCCCAGGTAGGGTACCAGAGACACACCAAAGAACAATGTACCAAAGCCCAGCCTGGCAAACCAGTGAGTTTATGAAGCTTGCTTGCAGAGTGTGGGTGAGGGGTTACTTATAGGAGTGTGGGTGATCCCAAAGCAGCCTATCACTATGGGGATGAAAATGACCCCATAGCCACCTCTAGATATGCCCTGTTGCCTTCCACATCCTATTAATAAAACAACTCTAGACCAGGAGACTGTGTGCACCGAGGGAAGAATTGCATATAATCATCACAGAGGCACAGAAAGGAGTGGCTGAAATCTCAGCCAAGGGTCTCCTGACCCTTTTCACCACACCTTTCTAAATGAGGAAACAGCAACAGCCCCTATCTCAAAGGTCTCATGCAAATGGTCACAGCTGCCCCAATGAGGACAGAATTCCATTTCCTGTCACAAAATTGTAGCATTTTTCTACTCCCACAAGCATTGCCAATCTCGTTTCCCCAAAGCCTTACTGATAAGTGTAGCATTGACGCACACACCTGTAATCCCAAAACTCAAGAGGCTGAAGTAGGAGAACTAAGAGTTTGTCGACAGCAGAGCTCCATAGTGAGTTCAAGACCAGCCTGGGTTATACAGAGAAAGCTTTTCTTAAAAAAGGAATCGAGGGCTGGGCGATGGTGGTACATGCCTTTAATCCCAGCACTCGGGAGGCAGAGGCAGGTGGATCTCTGTGACACCCAGACCAGCTTGTTCTACAAGAGCTAGTTCCAGGACAGCCTCCAAAGCCACAGAGAAACC